AACTTTCAGCTGCTCCTTGGGGTTGTAGCCCTAATGTTCAATTCTCATGAACTCGGGGTTTTTGGCAAAAGTGGAGGGTCGGTTATTTTTTTTTTTTTAAGGGGGCAAACTGACGGTGGGGATAATAATTGGGGGAGGGGTTTTGGCTGCTAGGGGATTTATTTGAGGGCCGCCCAGCTCTCTCCCCCCCCCCTAATTTTTTAATGTGTATATATATAATATTATAGTAATAATAATAATAATAATTATTATTATTATTCCTAATCCACGGTTATAACTCTTAGTACGTAACCGTCAATCCAATCGATCACGTATTAAGGTCGAACCTAAATCTAAAGTATCGGGGTGTTACAGCTAATAGCTAGCTGAGCAAGTTGTCTATGAGAAATGGTTGAACTACCAGCCTGCTAAAACCACATTTTATCAGAGGGAAGGGTGTATAGCTCATAGTCGTACAAGATAAGGGAGGTACAATTCCTTGTAAAGAGATTATCACACGTGAGACTTAGAGTCATCACAATGAACAAATTTCAAGGTCGAATTTTTCTTAAGGAAGGGTTAAATGGGATAACTCGATTTGGGCTTAGGTTCAACAATAACCACCAGGTGCATCGAATCAATCTTGTCAAGCCAAATCATTATTTTCATCACCTTTGAGTCAAGTTGTGAAATAAAAAGGGCAGTGAGTCACTCAAGGTTACACGAGTGCTACAAGCTACGGAAATATTTATGATCAAAGGTTACCAACGAAGTTGTTATAGTAAGAATAAATGATCGTGGGAAGGAAGTTTAAGAAGGGTGAGTTCCGAGCAAATCTCGGGGTCAAAATTTTTATAAGAATGGAGGAAATGTAACACCTGCATTTGTGGGTTCTGGTTCGACCATAATAGGTGAACGGTTGGATTAACGGTTAAGTACGAAGGTTACAATCGTGGATTATGAATAATAATAATTATTATTATTATTATTAATTATTATTATTATTATTGTTGTTGTTACTATTATCACCATCATCCCCATGTTAACAACAAAAGGAGGAGAAAAAAAACCCCGCACCCTCACTCGGCCTCACCTCCACCTTACCCTAGCATATATATATATAATTATATGCAACATCGCAGCCGAGAAACAAATAAAGAGGAAAACCCCTCCCAGCTGCTCTCGGCCAAAGGAAAGAAATCGATCGGGTGGCGGAATTTCTTGGATCAACAGCCAGCTAATAGGCGGTCGGCGGACTTGTTGGATGCCTCAAGCGGAGTAGTGAACCAGATGGTCATGGACGTCCTCCTGTGTGGACGCCAGCAAGATTGGGGGATAAGATCAGTAGCGTGGGCTCAAAGACTTGGCAACAGCCGGCAGAGAAGATGGCTCAGCGATCAAGCGAATAGAGGTAATCAACTGTATTTGGCCTCGATGCCTCTATTGGTTTTGGTTAACCTAGAACGATGCTGGGTATGAAGTCGAACAATTCAAGTTAGCTTAAGTAATTATATATGCTAGGTCAGGTCCACGTCCTTATTACTGATTGTTCACGTAGTAGCCTAATTTGGTACAAGTGATGGACGAAAATGGTGGTGGGAGTACCAATTTAAAAGGGTGGCCATGAGCAAAAGCAATCCCAATAAGTAACACGTGGCGTGCATGGCTATGGCAGGGACTAGTAATTGAATTATAATGATGGTGGTTGGGTTTATTGTTCGTGTCGGAATAGGATTGAACAGATTTGTATACTGGGTAGCAAGTGGATTGCGAGCTATTTTGCGAATACAATGCATGATTTCGTTCACGTAGCTATGGCTCACGATACAATGAAGCCGGAGATGCTCGATCGAGACTATGTCACACGGACATAGTTGCATGGTTGCCTGGAGATTTCATAGCTTGTGCACTTCAAGCAAAGAGTTGCAACGGCAGGTTCTTAGTTCAGATCATCCCAATTTTATTAAAGAGGTGAGTGTAAAATGGGTAAATTCTACGCCTTACGATATTTAGGTTTTGAGATTTGACTGTTATGTGTCGTACTTGCCTTTGTATGTTTATATGATGTCATATGATTTGTGTGAGTTATGCTTTCAGTTTTATGTTATTGTGTACTTTACTTACAAGTAAGTTTATGTTTAAGAAACAAGTTTCTTTTAAGAAGTAGTTTTCCACCTACAAGAAGGTGAAATAGTTTTAAGTGTTTTTAGTCACTAGCGTCAGTCCGTTGCCATCTGAGATTTTGAGATAGAGCAGCAGTTATTGTGTGAGTTATGCTTTCAGTTTTATGTTATTGTGTACTTTACTTATAAGTAAGTTTAAGTTTAAGAAACAAGTTTCTTTTAAGAAGTAGTTCTCCACCTTCAAGAAGGTGAAATAGTTTTAAGTGTTTTTAGTCACTAGCGCCAGTCCGTTGCCATCTGAGATTTTGAGATAAAGCAGCAGTTATGCTCTTAAAACTTTTAAGATGAGCAGCAGTTATGCTCTTGAGAATCGTGGTGAAGAGCCACCACGATAAGTTTAAGATGTTAGGGGGATGAATCGTTACGACTCCCCTAACTAAGTTTAAGTTTAAGGAAATCCTGGATGGCTTCTCATACGTTTGAGTGGGCAACCGGACTAGCTAGTGAGGGATCCCCATGTCAGTCAAGAGTTTAAGTTGAGATTTGATAAGTCAAGAGTTTAAAAGTTAAGATTTTTAAGGGTGGAAGTACAAACAACTTCCATCGAGTTAAGTAAAGTGATCGATCAAGTATTAGAAATTTTCAATGTAAGGGCGTAGACTGACTCCAACTCACTCACCAGTTTGAAGAGGACTAAGAGGAGTTAGAGAGCATCGAGTTCGAGAGGAACAGTTTGAGGGCAGCCAGCTAGAGCAGGGCAGTACAAGCGCCATGGAGGATGTTTGGTCAAAGCTTTCAGTAAGCAGTAGCATTAGAGACTTTTTAGTTATTTCAGTTTATGATTATGAGTATAGTCTGGAGATCAGATTGAGATTTTAAAGTTTGAGTTTAATTTGCCCACGTGTTAGGGCTTTGCTTTGAACTACAAGAGTGTGTTTTCAGTATTTTATTGATGAAATTTTTCCCGCTGCAGTTTAAGATTTAAGTGTTTTAATTTTCAATGGCATTTTAGTAAAAGTAGTGCTCGGCCGAGCTATGGTGTTACAGCTAGGGGTGGAAATCGGTACAGTATCGGTATCCCAATACCAAATACCAAAATTCAGAATACCGAATTACACCCTAAAGTCAATCCCAATCCCAATCCCTAAATTATTTCGGTATCCCAATCCCTAAATATTTCGGTATCCCAATCGATATTATCGAATACGAAATTAATAATCTTTGCAATACCAAATACTGAAATCCCAAATACCTAATTACACCCTAAAGTCAATCCCAATCCCTAAATTATTTCGGAATCCCAATCTCAATCCCTAAATATTTCGGTATCCCAATCGGTACTTCGGTATTCCAATCGGTATTATCGAATATGAAATTAATTATCTTTGTAATTAATAATTAACTATATAAATTAGATTTTATTGTTTAATTTAGGGAGAAAATACTAAGCAAAGAGTTTTGAATTAGGATATTATTAAGGAGAATGGAGGAGAGGAGACATCTCAAGTTCTTGTCATTGATAATCTTTAATTTGACGAATTGGAGGTTGAGAGACGACTATTAATAGCGATCGAATGATGTGTGTATAATTAAATGACACTTTTGGTGGTTGAGAGTCATGTAGTAGTAAATGAGAGAGTCTAGTTGAGAGGATAAAATACAAACTAGCTTATATTTCTGTATGATCGATATATCCCTATCTCAATCCCGTAATCCCTAATACCAAATAACAATTGAAATTCAATCTCAATCCCAATCTAAATCCCAAAAAATAATACGTATATTCGATAATACCAAATATAAACAAATTCGATACGGTATTCGGTATATCCCAAATACCGGTACCAAACTTCCAGCCCTAGTTACAGCGCCTCATCATCTCGTGCTCGTTTCAACTCCAGCGACATTTGGACTCCAGCTCCGGCGGCAATTAGAATCTTGGCGAGCTAGGTTTTGTTGATATCAATCTTAGACGTAATACGGGCGTTTATGGATTAGGTGTCCGTTCACCCCCTTCGTGTCCGTTCACATGGTGGCGTCGAGGCGGCGGAGGAAATTAGCACAGGCTACAAGGGCGGTTATGGATTAGGTGTCCGTTCACCCCCTTCTTGGTCAACAATAACCCATATCTTATCCTTCCTAATCGCCGCCATAACCCACTCCTCCTCCTTTTACATTAAATGGGTGGGGAATCATGTCATGGTTACTAGTGCATAAAATATTGTGTCGTGGATTTGGCAAGCGTAGTAGAAAGTGATGAGCCATGTAGTGGTTTCACCTTTGGAATAATCATAAAGCACTTAGACTTCCTCATACAAAGGGCTTCTATGGATTTTGTGTCCGTTCACCTCCTTCTTCATCAACAAGAACTCTGATCTTCTCCTTCCTAGTCGCCGCCATAACCCATTACGAATCGCTGCTCGAGTGGTGCTTAGAACTCAGAACCACTGGCTTCGATAAGCTTTCAGAGGGATCCTACTTTAATTGAATCTATGGTGTCAGGGGAATTGCAAGGGTCGAGGGCTTAGGTAGCAATTTCCCCAAATTGAAACCCTAGAACAAATCACGGTGGTGTTAGATTGGAAGGCTCGAAGAAGGGCTTGTACATCTCCATGAAATCTAATTTTTGTAGAATTTCGTTTTCACATCTCCAAGAGCTCGATGGGGAAGAGAATCCCCAACGGCGACGAAGCTGTGGAGGAAGAAGAAGAGTTTTAAGGAGGGAGGGTAAGGGTGTGTGATACGGTCAGTAACTAAACCGGGATCGTAGATTTAGGAACGGAGCTATCGTGTGGCTCGGCTGGACGCGAAGTGGGAGGGGCATTTTTTCCGATTTTTAAATTTTTATTTCTTTTCCTTTTTTATTTATTTATAGAATTTATTTGTTGGCTTTTAATGGATGAAAGAGAAAGTCATACTTCTCTTTTCTCTCTCTTTCTGCCTTCCAATCTCCTTTTTTCAAATCTAGATCTCCTTCCTTCTCTTGTTCTTCATTTTTTTCTCCAACAATCAACGAGAAAAAAATTACAGCCTCCCACCTCAAATCCGGTAACGCTCCAGATTCTTCTCTCTCGAGCTGCTCCTTCCTTCTGTTCTTTCATTTTTCGACCTCAAAATTGGTGACTCTCTATATCGATCAAGAGGGACAGATCTAGGTGAGTCGAGTTTCATGTTTTATATTTTATTATTTGTTTGTGAATTTTCAATTCCGATCTTCCTCATTTTTTTTCATTTGGTGTTCTTGATTGTGGTGGAGGAAATGAGATGACACAGAAAAAGAGTTTTTTTTTCTCTCACTCCTTTTTTTCTTTTAGGTAATATATATTGATATTACCACACTATATCGTATGGTAATGTGTGATAACTAAATGTATTTTTATAGTCACAATTTTTTTAATAGGTGGTAGTGGCTTGTAATCGACACTAGTTCCTAGAAAAAGATTTAGAAGACAATGAAGGGGGAGAAGAAAGTGAAGAACGCCATAATTGTATATATATATTGAGATTACCATATTATACCATATGGTAATGTGTCTATACCATATGGTAATGTGTGCTAATGAAATGTATTTTTATAAATATCATGTTTTACTATGGTTGTAGAGGATTGTAATTAGATTTATATTATTTTTATATGGTTTACCTTCTCATACCGTGTGGTATTGTATGGTAATTATAATTAATTTGTGTTCATTAGATTTACCATGTTCTACTATTATGATATTGTATGGTAGTTAGATTTATACTTTTCTGTAGCGTGTTTTACCATGTTATACCATGTGATATTTGTATGGTAATTGGATTTGTAATTTTATTCTAGCATATTATACCATATGGTATTGTATGGTAATTTCATTTGTAATTTGTAGCATATCTTACCATTTTAGTAGAAATTGATAATCATATTCATACATGTAATTGCCCTCTTTAGCATTGAATTAGTTAATAAAAAAATCATCATTCAATTTGATTCGGAATTAAAGTAGAAGGAGATGAGATGGTTATATTAATTTTTGTTATAAAGATAGAGTTAGAGTTAGAGTGGAGAGAACATATATATTTTTTCACTTCTTTAGTTGTAGATGGGGAGAGAGAAGAAATAATTTATTTTTTCTTTTAATAATAGAAAAAAGAGCGAGAGAGGGTTAGGCATGGGGAGTGGGGTCCGCACCAGAGTGTCAGTGTCAATGTCATCATTAAATGGGGGGTCAGTGCAATTTCACCCTACTGTCCCTCCGTGTTTAATTTAAAAAAGGGCAAAACCTGACACGTGGAGGACAAAGAAAGGGTTACTCACAGTTATTGAGGGGGAGGTTACTGGCCTGATTCGGACCCTCGGGTACGTGCGTGTTCTTTTTTTCATTTCTAAATATTATTTTTAATTTCCTATGTGGCACATATGTGGACGGCACTTAAGCGCCACATAAGCAACGGTCAAACATAAGCTGGGCAGCATTGGGTCAATGCTTAACTCTAACAGTCAATTGAAATTCGTGTAACACAAATGCCACTAATTCCCAATAGGTTTGGATAGTAATGTAATTATTGAGGTTACGTAATATAAATGATAATTTCGCAAGATGTTATTATTTTTAGTGGTATTAGCCCTTTTATTTATACAAAACGTCTATATATAACTTTTTTTGAAATTTTTTATTTTTTGATTCTTCCACGGTAGGGGCCGTTTAATAAAGATCGTATATTAGTAAATATTCTTTTTTATTTTCATGATTAAAAAATCAAGTCCTTTTCAAGTTTATAGGGTTACCGATGAAATGTTAAGCAATTTTTGGTTATTGTTAATCGCACCTTTTATATTAGTCGGTTAATCATAACCGTACAACCGGTTATTATGTCGGTTAACCGACTATCCATTTAGCAAGTAATTCGGTAAGGTTATATCAAAATAATCAAACGATAACCGAACCAACAGAAGGTCCCCCTCTTTTTTTTCAAATTATGCATTTTTAAGATTTTTTTATGCATATGTGCATGTTCTTTTTTATATTTGTAACATTAATTTGGGTTTGGCTTGTTATTCCTATTGGGACTGAGAGTATAAAGTGAAGCAAGGAAGAGAAGAGTGATGAGTGTGAACTCGCTGAGGGAAGCCAATGATGAAAGATGTCCTTTGCTATCTTTCCTGCAGCATAAGTCATCTGATCTTCCTAATCCGATTTGGATGCCTACATATCAATAGCAAAATCGGTGGTTTTCTTTTCCTCTTTCAATCTTAGGGATCACATTAGGATTAAACTGGGAAACAAGAAGAGGGTCGTGGTGGGAAGGAGATTTTTTGTTCGAAGTGCGAGAGTTTTTTTTTTTTTTGGGAGGAATATGACCATTTTGAGGGAGAGAAACATAAATATGATATTCGATTATGGATGGGTTAACCACTAATCGACTATTTGATTATCGGTTACACCAAAAGTGATTTCAATCTACAGATAACCACAATGCGTACTTATAACTAGCTATTGACCCGGCCCGTTGGCCGGATTATTTTAAGTTACCGACTTGTGGAATGGGGAAGTGAGCTAGAGCAGGAGAGCATCTATTTGAGTTGAACTCACAATTTGGGTCTATTTGAGTTCATATAATTATACATATGAAACAATAATATCAACCATCTAGCTATGCAGTAAAGAAAATTTCAAAATTTACATTAGATATGGGTGTTCATTTTCTTTTGGGTAGCTAGTGTAATGAATATAATTTAGACCCAAACTAAATAGTTGTTTATTGGTATGATCCATAAGTGATATTACCAAATATGATTTGACTGGTAATAAATTGGGTTTGAGATGGATGTTATTTGCCATTCATAGAGGAGGGAATTTTAAAGGCCTCGTTAGAAATTAGTTGTTCAATCGCTACCACATCAACCGCTAATGTATCACTTACCCATGAGACTTTTTAATTTATTGCGAAATGAGATGATCTAAATTCCTTCAGTTTTGGGTTCAAATTAGAAAATTTGCAATCACTTATTTCCATAGTTTTCATCTCCTACTTTTAAATGCGCTAGGTTTAAAGTTTCTTTATCTAAATTTCACTCTCTCTTCTCCTTCTTTTCAAAAATTTTCTCTCACTTCTCTCTAAGAAATTCACCCTTCCAGAAAATAGAGGGACTGCTGTCGGTGCCTCTCCGGCGACCAGTGGCAGCTCTCCGCCGCACTCTCCTGCTTTTTCACTTTGTGTTTTCAGTTTCCATCTCTCTTTGCTTTTCTCTTGGTTTCTCTAGCCATTTTTTGGCATGCTTTCTCTGCTTGTTTGGTTTCCCCTTGTGAGTTGTGTTTCTTCCCCTTCCTTTGGGTTGATTTTTGGTCCTCTGTTTTGTTGTTTCAAAACTGGAGATGCATGTCCTTTCTAAGATGCAAGGAGGCTAGATCTGCTCTAGATCTGGCTTATCTTATCCTCACTTTTCCATATTCTACCTCATTGTTCTCAGCTTGCAGATCTTGGAGGTTCGGAGATGAAGCCCATGGCGACGGACAAGGTATTGGAGAGCTTGAAGACAGAAGATAGTCTTCCCTCTGTTTCCTCTGCCTGCGACCCATCGAATTTGTTTGGTTTCCCCTGGGTTGTGCTCGGCGGGAGGCAGACTATTTGTTTGGCTCGGGGTGGTGCGTTTGGAGATCTTTCTCCTTCTCTCTGCCATCCGGGTTTGGCAGGAACACGCTACTTGGCTCGACGATTGGTGGCGATGTCATGGGGGCATTGCATAGTTCGAGTGAGCGGCGGCGGCGACAATTTCGGCCACGGCAGCGGGGAACGCAGAGGGGGCATGGCGGCTAGGGTTAGAGGATTAGAGGATATGTTTTGGATCCTAGGATTAAGGATCTATTGAGTTCCGGGCTAGGTTTGGTCCTGGTTATCTACTAATTTTTAGCCTTTTTTGCATTGCATATCATATTTCATTCTCAATGTTTTTTTACTCTTCTTTTCCAATTCAATTTCAAGTGTATATACAAATGAGGACATTGGTCTATGTTAATCACACAAAGTCTCAATCCAAATACATGTTCGTCTAATCTTTTTGCTCATTCTTTGTATAAAATGTGGTTCATTGGCGCTGTGACCTGGCGACTAGAAGCAAAATGGAATTGACTATTGAGGAACTATGTTAGCTTTTGAGATGGTTGAGGTTTGTATTGTTGTCTGCTGATACTAAAGGAGGAAGAAGATCTTATGGGATGACCGAACACGAGCGGCTGAAGTACGCTACTACATGTGTCTATGATTAAGAAAAGGACGACATGTCAACAGTGCTAGTGATTAGATTTGTTGAAAATTATGTCGGTTTGAAGTGACTCGGTGCTCATATGAGTTAGTTGAATCGACTCGATTTTCTAATTTGAGTGGCTTTCCTGGTTCGACCAAGTTTGGGTTGATAACCAACTCGGCCTCAAGCATCCTAATACATTGGTCAAATTCCAATACTTTTCTATTTTCTATAAAGAAGTCATTTTAATAATTGTGAAGGAAAATATGTCATTCATATTTTGGATCTCGTCGTAGGAATTTAAAATCGGATTATACTTTTCTCATTCCAATCTTATATATTATATTGTGTGTATATGTTAAGACGAAGACATATGTCATTGCCCTAGAAATTCATTAACATGTCAAAAAAATGGTGAAATGAACCAATAACTAAAGTCAATCTCGTACAATGATCATTGGATCTAATCACACCGAAATAGGAACATGTTTAAAACTTAGTGGTTAACCCAGCTTAAACGTTAAAAACCCCCTATCATATAGTCTACACAACAATATGATTTCTTCATAGTAATTCTAAAAATTAATATTAAAATAAAATGTTGGCATTGCTTCGACCTTCTTAATACTCCAATTTGATATGCAACCAAGTTATATTTGGGTTGCAATTTTAAAGTTTTCCACTATTTATAATAGACATAGAAACGCAAATTAAGTATTAAATTACAATTAAAATAATCAAAGTATGAAAATCAAAGTATCAAATCACCAAATAAGTACTTATGGGAGATTTAGTGGCTAGCTAAACGTTGTAGAAGTCCTATGATTTTGTAGATGTTAGGTTTGTGTATGTTTTTCTTTTAAAATATTCAACAAATATGTGTAGTGTGATTGGTTGTAACTTGTAACTCTTTCCTCTCTTTAAAGTGGTCATGGTTCAAGACACCATAAGTATCTCTTTTTTTATAAATAAATAAGAAAGAAATAAGTAGTTGTGAAGACAAAACTGCCCTTCCTACATTCACTCCCGATACAGGAAATTTGAAATGGAGTAATGGGTTTTGGTGTTCACCTTTAATAATAATATGTGTTGATTAGTTAACAATATAATTGTTAACGGTAAGTTATCAGTTAGTTTATCATTGTAACTGCTAACCGATTAACTAAATATCACCCCCTACTATGGATGGCAATCAAACCCATGGCCGCGGGTACCCGACCGCCCCCGACCCAGTCAACGCGTGGAATCCCCGCTTTGACTGGATATGGGGCGGGTATGGGTAAAACCCGCAAAAAGTTTGATGGGTATAGGGCGGGAATGGTTTTGGCCTCCCCCGCCCCATACCCATACCCGCCCCACCAAGAGAATTTCTTCACATATAAAAAAATATGTGGATTAAATTGTGATCTATCAACGGTGATGAGGATAACTCGAGGAAATAAATAGTAGAAATGCAATTGAGTGATCACTTTAATCAAAATCTAATTCATTTCCCTCAATTCTACTTTCACTCTTTCACTTTCCCCCTTGTCAACAAGTTTATTTTAGTTAACTATTACTTAGTAGATGTATCAGAATCAGAAGATAATAATTTGAAAAATATTATACTCTATATTATGTATTAATGGATGTTTTAGGATCATATACTTTGAACCGTATTAAGAAAATGAATGTGTTTTGTTGACTTCATGATATTATAGGTTTGTTTAGAGTTATAATTAAAACTTTTCTTGTAAGTTTTAGATATAATAATGTTGGATGTACGGGTACGGGTATTACTCATGGGTACCTGAAATCCACGGGTATGGGGATGGGTTTGCAAAACATTCTCCCACATTAATATGGGGCGGGTATGGGTTTAGATATTTGAAGATCGGGACGGTGATGATTTAGACAAACCCGCCCCAAACCCGCCACATTGCCATCTCTACCTCTACACATTATTTTTAGGCAAGTAACACAGGCAAATATCAAAGTTGGCGATTAAGAACTATGAGTTCTCCCACCAATCTTATCACGAGACAAGCACCACCGCTACAACCAAGATTATTTTGTATCAAAGAGGTCATCAGCATCACAAATGATGTCGTCCTTGATGGCTAATTAATTGTGAAATCATTGAACAGCAATCTATGATTACGATGTTCAAACAACCCAAAGGTCAACTTTTACTATGAAAGAGGTGCTTTTTTCTCAATGAGTTTGGTCATTTCTCAATCACAACTTTTAAAAGCACGAGACAACGCCTTCTGTAGTACTAGTGGAAGTGGTGGCCCATCAATCATATCTCCAGTTGAGCAAAGAATCCCAACTTGATGGTTTTTGTTCACACAAGACATGATGTATGGATTATAAAGTTATAAAGGAGAAAGAGAAACAAATATAGTGGAGAATCGTATGGCTCCACAGGATTTAATCATTGAATTGAAACTATTACTTAACTTCCCACCCAAAATTTTACACATTTCTTATACCCTTTTGATTTCCCATAGTACAGAAACACATTTTCTCTTCTTCTAATTTCTAAAGAATACAACTGGCCGCTCCAAATTCTACTTGTGACAGTACAATTTGGAGCGTCTGTCTTGCCAATTGCAATGACAGAAGTACAACCAAGGAGTTTCTCTCAGTTAGCCAAGGACAACCAAAAGCTAAAGCTTCCTTTTTTCCCCATTGATAGCCATACTTTCGCTCATTGGAAGAACGCATGATTAGTTACTCTGGTGATGGTGATTACGATAGGTCATTGGAGATTGGGATCAGTTTGATAGTAAACAACATCACCCGTGTCACTAACATAATGGTCTTTCTTCAAGCTCTTTATCAAGTTTCCGATGAGGTGAAAGGGAAGTGGCCATGATTTTTCAGGTTCCCGGTAGTACTTCCCGAGCACCGGCTTAGCAGCTTCCGTCTACACAAACCAACAGAAATTCGTTTAGGTTTAAAGGAAATAGACCAAAGAAACCATCTTTACCGTAAAGCTTTGTTGTATAAAAAGTTGCCTTAGTTTCCTCTTTAAGAGATTGCCTATAACAGAGAGTTAGGCATAAAGGCGCAAAAGAAGTGCTTACTGCTTCGATCAAGTGGTAGTGGGGGATTTGTGGGAAGAGATGGTGAATAACATGGGTTCCAATATCGTGGTGGATGTTATTGATCCATCCATAGTCTCTATCAAGCGTGGTTAATCCTCCCCTCAAGTAACTCCATTCCTGTCCACAAGGATCTCAAACCTTTAGTGATAGAGAAAGGTTAAATGAAGGTCTAATAGTTGGCTTCCCCTATATACTATTCTCTTCAAAGCAACTGACTTTTCGTTGGGTTTAAATGAACAGACGTTGAATCATTTACCTTGCCACGGTACCAAGGAAGCTTGTCATCATGGCCGTGGTGATGCAAGTAAGTTACAAAATCCAGCCACATAACAAAGCCCTAAACAACACATCAAGAGCGGAGTGGTCTAGAGTTAAGAAGAGAAGTCTTCAATGGAGAACAAGCAAAAATTAGTGTATGTGGAAAAGAAACGATCATTTGTCTGTACCCAATAAGGAATTCCGTAGAGCTTAAGCATTTGCATAGGACCCATTACAAATGACAATCCCACAAGCAACGCAGCCATGGCCGTCCAACACACGGTTGAAGTGATCACATCTTTCCGCTCGCTCGCCACGAACAAATCACTGTTTGGGTCGAAGTGAGAGCCTGACTTTCCAGGGCTTCTACTCCACTGAATTTTGGAAAGAAACAAAGAGAAAATCTCTGACTTTGGCTGGTTCTGCAACTTGCAAATTGAATTCACCATTATCAAGTAATTGGGACACTTACCAGATAGAAAGGATATGCAAGCATGGGGAAAGGCAATGTGAACCTCAGAGTTCGAGTTGCAGAATCCAATTGCCGGAATATCTTTTCAGACAACTGCAGTATGTATTAATATAACAACAAAGGTTGGTACATCTTTTTCAGACTAGCCAGCACAAAATTGACCAGGATCTGATTGAGAAAAGAAGGCTCACAGGATGCCATGATTCGTCGTTCTCAACGTGGCCATGGTTTTGATGGTGAGTCCTATGGCTGATTCTCCTGTAAAATTGGCCACAAATATATGTGAATGCTTTTTTTTACTAGGACTCTGAGCAGGAAACTCGGGGAAACAAATAAGCAACCACCAAAAACCCGGATATAAGCAGAAGAGCTTTTACCATCCATGATAAGGCACTAGAATTGAAGAATGAAGAATGTGTCCAGCCACACTGTTGAGCTTATGATTGCTTGAAAAGCTACCATGGCCGCTGCAAAAGCCAAATTTCTATTCCATCGCCATCAATTGCAACAAAAGAGAATACTAGGGATATGTTGTTAATGGAACAATTATGAATGGTTACCAGTCATGACCAAGAACAAAAAGAGCCCAAAACATGGTCCCCTGAGCAGCCCAATACAGGGGCCAAACAATCCAATTGTTGAGATAAGCCGCGGCGGCAGCCAATCCAAAAACCACGGCGACATCCCTGGCTACGTAACTCATCGACTTCCACGGATCCTTAACCCAGCAATGCTTGGGTATGGCGGCTCGAATATCGGCCAAATTGAAGGGCGGCGGCGCTCCTGGGTCGAAACCTGCCGGCGGCTCTGCTTCTCCAATCGCATCGTTGAAATTGGGTTCTTCTTCTTCTTCCACTGAAGCAACTTGAAAGGGCACACTCGCTCTCTTCCTCGAAGAAGAACGGGTAGAAGAGAATCTAATGTTCAGATCCGAGCCGGTGGCAGCGGGCCTCAGAAATCTCAGCTTGGAGAGGCTGTCTCGGTAGACGGCTCCGACTCCGGGCCTGGGGAAGGCTGAGGGCAGAGGCTTTAAGCCGCTTGCTGATAGAACCCAGCTCGCCATTGAATAGAGCTTTCCCCCCTAAACCCTTCTGCTACGGTACGAAGCTTAAAGGATAACAAAAACAGGGCAGAGAGACGAGTCTGGAGAGAAGAATGTATCTCTTCCTTCCTTTTATTGGAACGAAAATTGAATGTGGACTGGTCTCAAAGACAGCCTCTCGTTTATTATTATAATCTCTCTCTCTCTCTCTCACTCTCTCTCTCTCTCTGACGGGTGCAAGAAGGGGAGAGGGGAAGGCGGATTCAGTGGCTGGCGGGGAGTTTGGATCCAACGGAGGGAAAAGGTGGTCTGTCTGTCTGTTCCCTTTTCTTTTCTTTTTTTCTTTTTAATTTATTGTTCTCATGGGCGCATTTGGTTCGCGGGTCGCGTGTTGACCGATCCACGGGCCGCTGGAATTGGGTTTGGCGGACTTTCTTTTTGGGTGTTTTAGATTTTTTCGCCGGGGTTGGGGTTTTGGATTACTGGATGCATAAAGGTACTATGGGTTTGGTTTAGAGTTTAATAGTCATGTTGCGAAAAGGTACATCCACAGGTCGGTAGCAAAAGATGCTATGGTTTGACCATAGCCATGTGTCACTCGTGCCCAATTGCTAGATTTCATACATCTTTTTAAAGTGGCCTAAACTGTTTAGACAGTAAACATAAAGCTTGTTGGCCGGTGGACAGATATATGATCAACTATAGAAAAATCATAAACCCCAAAGGCAATATATGGCCTTTGAATAGTTATAAAATATGCACACTTATTAACTTCTCGATAAATATGACTAATCGAGACTTTACGATCAACAAATAACAGCTCACGAAAGTATTGGGATGATGGAGTTGTGGCGGGGTCGCCTACATCCAACATGAGAAGTTGAACTCTGCATTTCGAATCCAACTGGACCTCGATATTACGAAAACCAAGGTCTCAAGCAAGTTGAAGCCCCCTCTACAGCTCCTCTCAACTCACCTCGGATGACGGAACAAATCCCAAGGTGGTTAGCAAAAGCTACTCGGCAGCTTCCAGAATGATCTCTAATTAGGTCACCCGCATCCGCGTTACCCGAATAAGGATGGAAGGAGTTGTCGGAGTTTAGAGAGACCCACTCGTGATGAGGTGACTCCCAAGAACTCAACAACTTCGTTCTTATGGGTGAATGAGGCCTATGAATGAGTCTATTTGATCACGTTGTATTTGCACATGTTTGAGCTGTCGTTTCTTGATCATTTTGGCTTGATTTTTTGATTTCTTGGACTATTTTACGCCAGGTTGTGTTCCTTTTTCATATTTCAGGTCCTAGCATGTAAAGTGAAGCATAGACGCAAGCTTCAAGTCGATCGGAGATCAATTGGCGACTCGGGGTGCGAAACTCAGGAATGACTCGAGGAAGAATGGATTTCTACCTCATTTTATTGACAAAGAATCATGAAATGTTGTCATGAAAAGAAAGAGGACAAGACTACGAGCATCTGGGATCAAACGGCACCTGAATCGGAGGTTAAACGAGCTCAAACGAGATCAACGAAACTTAGGAGTGCATGCTGGAAATTGTGCACGGCCGTGTAAAGTTCTGCCCGACCGTGTGAGTTTCCCATGGGGTTTGCATGGCCAAAACCTCAATTTGCACGGCCGTGCAAGTAGGGGGTGCGAGTTTCAGTGGGTATAAAAGCTGTTTTGCGATTTTTGGAGAGGGGGAGCTGGGTTTTGGATCCCAAACACCCAAGGGACAAACCAAAGAGAGAGAGAGAGGGCAATCTAGAGCCATTCTTGGAGCTATCTTAGAGGATTATTCACCATTGAAACTCAAGGAACAAGTCTAGACATGAAGATTGAAGATCTGGAAAGTTATACTGCAATCTCACTCTTCTCTATGGAATAACTTCCCTTCACTTAGGTTTTGAGGAACCCTAGTTCCATGTGTTAGGATCTTTCTTGTATGAAGTTTTGGATGTTATATTGTGTGATTATAATCGATTGAGTCATGATTTATTGACTCGATTGAATCCTGATCAAATTCTCTTGATTTTTGCTTTAACTTATGATAGATAGAATCTAATTAGGTTAAGAGAGCTTCCTTGATTGATAGTAGTGAATTGGTTGTGCAAGAGTCAATCAATTCACTGCTTTGTACTGGAATTCATTCCAGTAGTGGGGATCTGTGTGAATCGCCTTAGCAGTCTATCCTGGTGAAGGCTAGTCACCTGCCGGGTGTTCTGTCTAAGAGGGCTTGGTCAGCTTAAGAGATTCCAAGCTAATTTAGGATCTTCCGCAGTTTAATCAATAGTAGATCAACCAAAGGTAATTGCAACTTGGACCTAATTGAGGAGCTAGGGGGAATCATACCTAAGTGAGTTCCTAACTTGTAATTAGTAGAGTAGTTTAGTAAATCAATCTTTAATCTAGTTTGCTAGATAATGAACTGAAGCTGAGTAATAGTAACTCTAGAGACCCGTGGATTCGATATTTATTACTTGCACAGTATACTGCAGATCCTTTCATTGGTTACACTTGGCCATTTTTAGGTGTTGTGTTTTAGCGTGTCAAGTTTTTGGCGCCGTTGCCGGGGAACTTTATAGATTATTAGGAAAAGCAGAAGTTTGTTACTTTAGCGTTTTTCTTTTCTTTTCCACCATTGCTTTTCACTTGGGTGTTTTTGTTTTTGTAACATCCCGTTTCAGCTAAAATCGTATTTCGATCGCTAGAAAGTTCGCGATTTAAAATCGAGCATTTCGACACTATTTCGACGAAAATCGGATTATCGATCGATCGGATAAGTATACGTATTAAATATATATATTATATAATAAAATATATATATATATATATATATATATATATATATATGCGGTCGACATATAATTCCCGTCACTTTCTTTCCAATTCTCATCATCATTTTCCATTTCCCCACCGAGAGTAAACGGAGAAGCAGAGCATCACGCAGAGCTCCGGGGAAAACGTTCGGTAGCTCGATTCTTGAGCATAAGTGATCCAAAAATCTCGTAAGTAATGCCTAATTCATCTATACATCGTGATTTATCGATTTAGAGCTTTAAAACGAGCTTTTGGTTCAGGAATTTCTTGAATTTCCGATAAGCCAAATTAGGGTTTCGGAGTATCCGGAAGTCGGATTGAGCCCAAATTTCATATACGAGCTTCCTGCAGCGAGGTAATCAATCCTCTAGTTCTAATCCCTGAATTTCGGCTATTATTTAGGCCGGGGTCCAAACCGCTGAATTTAGCTCTGGCCAGGGTTTGATGTGTTTTTATCAAGAATTTGACCCGGAGCCTAGAACTAATATTGACGGGGATACTGCAGGGGATATTAGGACGGTCTCGGATTTTAATTCGGGGTTCGTTCGTGAAATTGATGTTTTAGTACGGGAGGCTAGAACCGGTGTTTGAACGACCAGAACTGTGAGGGATTAGCACGACATACCGGGTTTGTCGTATCACGATAATTATATTGATGCTTAGAATTGATCTAGGTGAACTAGAATGGCATGATTAGGGGTGTATGGACTTTTATGCTATCATGGATTGTTGTATGATATTATTGACTTGCCCTAAACGATATGGACCTTGTTTATGTTGATGATTCTATATATGTTGCCAGATGTGGGTTTAATTGTGAATATGCCTTATGATGGTTCGAGAAGGTGATTGGATATGATTTTTCATGATTGTTGTATTTGGATGCACAAGTGGGAAAATATATATTCCCTGGTAATATTATGATGTTTTAAGGAGGATGACTTGCACGAGGGTTTATCCCGAGGAAGTGCAATTATACGACTCCTGATTTACCTATGTTGAGCCAATTGTGGCCTGGTCAAGTACATGTGCAAGTAATGAATTATGATTAAGCAAGATGAGATATGAATCATGTATAAGGATACCAAATATGAGTGTTGTGGTCTCACGGTCAACTACATAGTAATTAGGGCTCCCTATGCTATTACTCTATTATGATATGTATGATAGTCACACCTCTCATGTGGTGGTGACTGAAGAATTCTTATGAGATATGACCACACCCAGAGCGGTGTCGGGGTATGACTACACCCATAGTGGTGTGGGGTATGTATGACCACATCCGACGGGATGTTGGGGTATGTATGACTACATCCGACGGGATGTGGGGTATGTTTCCCGGGAGAGTTATTAGCATTGGAGTAGCCAGGCGCCTATAAGTAAAACATGATAAGATGCATATGCATAAGTCAAGGTGGTTGAGTCTTTTGCCTATTGGGATATGAGGATGGCTGAGGTCCGATCCTAGTGTTTTGGTTTGATTGTTAGATGTATGATAGGGGTATGCTCTGTTATGAACTCACGATGCTATGATTATCTCACTCAGCTATGAGCTGACCCTCTTTTATTCTTCTTCTCTGCTTATGCTATGTGTAAGCAGATCATCAGCAGCAGCAGTAGATAAGTGTTAGGTGGGAGAGGAGCTAGAGTTGAAGCCAGGATGAGGTATGGTCTTCAACTATTCTGTGTTTGGACTACTACTCGGGATTTTGGCCAGTGATCCACACCGTTTTTGTAAAAATGTTTTGAGAACGTTTTTCATGTGCATACTAGCTTCTGATCTAGTGTGAGATATCCACAGGTGTGAAAAGTTGATGATATGTGTATATTTTTGTAATTATGTAAGTTGTGACGATTATGGCTTGTATCAGTATAGTATGCAGTTGTGTAGTATGAAACTGTGACTTTGGCTATGAAAGCCAATGCTTATGGTTGTGAGTATATATGTTTGTGATGAATTATTTTGCAGGATAAGTTGCAAGAACTGTTAGCCCATTACGCGAGTAATTCATGTCGAAATTTTATTTGGGTAAATTTTGATAATTAATGTAACGCCCGAGATTAATTCCGCTGCAATTGTATGAAGAATATGATTAGGCAAAACCTATAGGGTAGGGTGTTACAGTTTGGTATCAGAGCCTGGTTCCCTCTTTTTGCTGTTATGGCGTACTATACCCTATGGGAGGCTAAACACTCCTAAGGAGGGGAGTACCCCATAATGACTTAAACTGGGAATTGAATTTGATATGATTATGTGTATTGGTATATTGGATGAAATTACCTGCATCATGGTTTTCAAAAATTGAGTTTTGAACTTATTTGTTTTCGAGTAATTATTTTGGGAAAATTTTTGTTTTAACCAAGTGAGAGATTTGGTGAAGAATGAATTTTGTGTGGATCAATCTAAGGCCAATATTTCCTTGTAGCTCGCACGGAAGTTGTGAAAATGTTCCTACTGACCAGTCGAGAGGAGTGGGGGCGGTTGATGCAAGACCGCCAGTATTAGACTATGCAAAGATGAAGAGTTTGGGTGGTAGGGACTTTAAAGGAGATGTGAGTCCGGATGCTGTAGTAGAGTGGTTGAGAGAGATGGAAGATGTGTTTGAATATC